GCAAGTCAAATCTGTGCATGTACTTCATGTTAGGTCAGTGTCTGATGAGAGTTGCAGTTAGCTGCAACGTGATCCTCGTAAAAGTCAATCCTTTCGTGGACCTATTCCGTGCAAGATTCCGTTTTTTAACGGTCTCCTTAAAAAGGTGTTTTCTAATTAGGGATGAGGATCTGTTCTATTAAAAAGGTTAAGGAGATTGGAAAAATCAAAAACATGTCATCAACATACTTACAAATAAGCTTAATATTATTAAAATAGGTCGAAAGCCTGGCAGTAGCCGCTTTTTACCAAGAGTGCATAAGATTGTTTTGAAACCCTTATCCATTTTTATGGCAAAAACATTTGAACCCTTCTTAGTATTATCAAATTACAATGGATTTTGATCACCTTTTCCCATATTGGGCTCACATCCCCTAAGAATCCCTAATCATCCCCTAAGAAAAGTATGTAACTAAGCAAAAACATGATTAAGAGAAATGACACCGTTCTTCAAGAAAAATCATACTGTCTGCTAGACAATAAATGGCATCCATGCTGCGAAAAAGATCAGTTTTTGTTTCAAATCATATGTCCAAAAGTACATTTTATACCAGGAATAAATATGCAGGGTGTCGCTACAGATGTCAGTACGTTGGAAGCCATGAAATGCATCATAGAGCATAAAAACACTAGAGTTTATCTATTGATGATTTGTTGCAACTGATGATGAACTATTACAGTATATTGTGGGATTTCTTCAAGAGGCCTGTGGGGCGATGAATTTGTAGTATGGTCATTGTCTGCCTACCCTTACTGGATCTAATGAACAGGTTTTTAATTTTTACCAAATCCAATAACGCATCTGACAAACTGAAAACAGCAAGAACAGATGGACCAATATACTCAAAAAGCCCAAATACAAGTTGTTCTCTTGAGGTCTTCGGGGTTATGACCTATAACTTGGCCATTTTCCATCTGGTCTGCCTATCCTCACAGTGTCTAATGGATGTGTTCATTTGTTTTATGCTGTTTTCAATAATGGTATATGTTGTTTTAGCACATCCCATCCTTTGAATTTTAGTAAGTATATTAATATTATTTCAATTAACTATACTTTTTATCTAAGGTCTTGGGTAAGAAGAAAAGTTAGTGTCACGAGCAGGATTCGAACCCATGACCTTCAACTCAATATGCCACTGCTCTAACCACTTGAGCTATCTTGACCTCAATCCACTCGGACACCAACTCCTCCCTCATCTCAACATCATTAAAAACAATATTATAATTAAGTACGTTATTAAAATAGAAGAAATGAAACTAAAATAGTTGATGTCACTCTGAATCAAGGTATGGGCTTGAAAAAGAAAGCAAATACAGTTCTTACTGCCAAGCTTTCTTCCTATTTTAAGGTCATCATCAGGGCCTATAATAATTTCACATTATGAAAAACATTTGTACAATTGATTTAACAATTGTTTTTCATACTCTGAAATTAATATAGGCCCTGATGACCTTAAAATAAATGGAAAGTTTGACAGTAACAACTGAATTTGATTTTTTGTTTGAGACCATACTCTAAAGTGTTCGTGAGTGAAAAATTGATTGATACTTCCATTATTGAAAACTAAAATAATTCTAAAATTAGTACTACTTTGACTCTTACAATGATGAGAAAAATGCAGCATATGAACTATGAATGTTGTAAAATTCTATTAAGGACATACAATCTTAATGTTTGCATAAAATATAATTATGGTAATTCATTATTTACATTTTTTTCTGTAACATTTTTGACCTGCAACTTTGAAGCTGAGCCTTCATGCTTCCCAAATTTGCTAATGAAATCTGAAGAGCCAGAACTGTCAGCATTAAAGGTCAAACTTTTCTTCTCATTACCCGTTATCAAAGTGCAATGAGAAGATACAATTGGATATTTTGCCCTGAAGTAGTTGCCAAAGAGGTGGAATTTGAAAACTGACTTCATTTTCATTATTGGTGGCAGTTTCCTTCTTGCTCATTGTCAACAAATTTAGAATCAGAGAGGCCATGTGATGTGACAGTCATTTTTACAAATATTTAAAATAAATACTATATATAATATGCAAATGAACTCTAAATCATGAATGTATCAATGCAGGAATAGTTTATTAAAAAGATTGGTCGGTTATAGTCGGTTACTCACACCGATGCTATAAAGCTCGGCAAAGAGCTAGGAAGAGATTTCATGAATGGAAACGATGGGTTTCCGCCAATTCAAAAGTGACACATGGTGCTGACTAGCAGCTAAGAGTCCACCTACAGTTGTGTCATTTTTCCTGTAGCATCACACATCCAAATACTTATAAAAAAAAAAGCTTCTGATTTTTAGAATTTTTCGACTTGCGGCATTTTTCTTGTGGGTGTGCGATATGTTTAGCAGTCTTAATTGACCCTAACCATTATTTAATTTAAACTGACTAGTTTGGTAAAACAATGTTTATTAATCAAGGTAAGATGAATCAACCTTTTATTTATCACCAATTTATTGAGGATCAGGGATGAGGTCACAAAGAAGTGAGTATTGTAACTTTTACGACAAGTTTTTGACCTTTGTTACAGTCTTCTTCAGGGCTACATTACATTGTCATAAATTTCATTACGATAAAATATTTTTAAACCTCTAACAAAACTTTAAAGACAATGGTTGACAATAATTAAATCTATTATTGTAATCAAATTTATTTTTGACAATGTAACATAGCGCTGATGATGACTGTAGTGAACGTCGAAAGCTTGGCGTAGAAGTTACAATACTCACTTCTTTGTGACCGCATCCCTGATCCTTAACAAATTGGAATGTTTATTAATATTTTATTTATATAATTTATAATTGTTCAAGTGTACATACCTGTAAAACAAAACCAGTTTTTATATTTTTTTAATCTTTGTACACTAATTAAACGTTCACTTGGAGCACTTTTCTCCATTCTGATGGTTTGGCGGTTACGCCACATGCCAGTAGTTCGTTATCCTAACTATACCACTGCTTCCTATAGTAAAGATACAAAGGTGAAATTTGTATGTTCCTATCTTTTCATCAGCAAAACTAATTCTACAGTTTTTCCGACTATATTGTATCAGTAGTTTTTTAAACTATAACTGATTCAGTAAGTTTTGCGATTCTAAAGTTTTAGCGTAGTTTTGGCGTCTATTGACTGTTAGCGCCTCCAAATCGGAATTTGAAAGACGCGGGAAACGCGTAATTATAGGAAAACGGTATTCGCCCGGAAGCTGACAGCTGAGAGAATGGACTCCACAAATTCCAGAAAACTCTCTTTTTTGTAAATACTAACGCCTATTATTTAGTCTATAGCCTAGTTTATAGTCTCTAAACCCGTCCAGCACTAATAAAAACAAAGTATGAAAGCTTCAACGAAATCGGTTAAGTAGTTTTAATTTTTAAGATTAACACACATACGAACATTCATTTTTATATATATATAGACGGATAAATTACATACTTTCGTTATTTTTTTAATAGAATGATTCCTACACACATATTTTTCTAATTGAATTGAGGGTCAATGGAGTACTAAGTATTTTGCCAACAGCCCCCTTACATTACACATTCAGCTTTCAGTATTAGAAGTATCGACCACTTTTTCACTTACGAACACTGGATCAAGGTATGGTTTTGACAAAGAAAGCAAATTTGTTTGCTACTGACAAGCTTTCATCCTATATTAAGGTCATCATGACTTCACGGTTGGCAATGTTCAGACTGAGTCGGTCTTCAAGGAAATTTGAGATCGTATGTAAAAACTTAAATATGTCAATCTGTAGGCATGTTTAAGGTAGTTTTGCCCTGATGATTACTTTAAAATAGGTCGAAAGCGTGTCAGTAGCTCCTAAATGCTTTCTTCTTCAAGAACACCTTGATCCTGACTACATATTCATGCTAATAAATACATTCAATCTCAATATGACTAAAGAAACTCAAAAAGACATCTATAAAGTACTATATACAGTAAAACAGGCGACCCAAATACTTGCGGCTGTGTTCAAACAAAATTCTCATATTGGATGACATTTCTACACGCTCTTTATATAGTGGCAAGTAATGTATACTTTCTCTGCACGGCCACCATTTGCCACCAGGAATAGATACTTTTGGGTGACTCGTGGAGGCTGTATAGAAATAGATAGAGCTAGTTAGAGAAATAGAAGGAGAACGAGAAGAAGAAAGAGAAATAGAGAGTGAGTGAAAAACAGAGAACGAGTAAGATTAGTGCAAGAGAGAGTGTTTTTTAAGTCCCTCTTTCCACCAATTACGTAAGATTATATTTGACATGTGAAAAGACATTGATATTATTAGTGTGAGATAGAGAGAAATTTTCAATTTGTTTATATTTTAAATTGTACACATATTACCTTACTTTAAACTTATAATTAATTTATTTGCAGTTAAGTATTGAAACAGTAATGATCAAGTTCAAGTTTTAATTAAGTGTCACACTACTGTTTTTTTCTCTATCAAAGTACATTACAGTTATGATCATATACTAAATATGAAAAACAACTCGAACCAGGTAGTGAAGACAAATTCCCAACGGTATTCCTCACTTAATAAGATAATTAAATAATTTGGCAACAATAACTTGCAAAATCAATTATTTAACAGTAATAGATACAAGTTTAGGATGGTACAAGGTCCTTTTCAATCATCTTTGTGGTAGTTGGTTGGCTCTGGGCAATTTATTGCATCAGTTGGTTAAGGTACGCTGTGATCGACCAGTGTGTCGACTGTAGGTGTCCTTGATCATCGTTTTAGTGTTTAGAATGTCCAAGTCTTTGTGGGTAGTATGGTTCCAAACATACCACGGAGTATTTGATATAGGTTACTGCTGTTGTAGGAAAAATTTTATTCAATATATATATNTTTTTAATACAATTTTCCATGATTAATAAGTTGATAGTGTTTAATTATAATAATTTGCCTGCTAGGCTGGAAATTTTTGGGGTATAAAAAAAACGTTTGAAGATATTTTTATTTTCATTTTTATTTTCAAAGTACATAATCAATGCGACATGGTCACATCAGAAATCTAAAAATTTGTTCCCAAACAAAAGTCTCGCCTACATGAAAATGCCGAAGACAAGAAACTTCTACTCAGCCAAAAAATAATCAAAAGGACAAAGCAAACAATTTTGAACTTCTGTAGTCAGTGCTGTGCGTTTACAATGTTACATGTTTCTTTATTATATAATAAAATTAATGGTTGGTGTATGAAGACCTTTTTATTATAAAATAAACACACAAAAAATAAAATTTGCATCACAATGTGCTCTATCAAAGGCAATTTTTTTCAATTAACTGATAAGTGGTTATGGCAAATTATTGTTTAATTTGTTTACATAGCAATTCTAAACAAAACTGTTATGCATAAAAAAATCGGCTAAAAAATAAAATAAAAAGAAATTTTATGCTACATTTTACTTTACAAGCCTTAAAATATAAAATCAATTACTGCTTGTAAATAATACTGATCTAACAAACATTGAACAATATGATAAATTCCATCATTAATATCAATGAAAATGGTTTTGTAAGTGAACAGTTTTTTAATTAAAAAATATAGAATTATTTATTTCCTAAAATATCAAGACATTGCAATGCTTAAAAATAATAATAATAAATTTAGCAAATGGATATTTGAAAATAATTATATCAATTTTAAAGTCAAAACTTATCTTCTATCCTCAACCCTGGATGTCATATTAAGTTTTGCGTGTTCATCAAGTTCCCTGATTACAAATTGCATTTTCTTAACTGTCGCTTCAGCATCTTCGGCATTATTGTTGCAACAGACCACAAGCCTAGCTATGTTCGTTGTCCATGGTAGGATTTTGACTGCTGTTTCAATGCCTTCGTCTAACTCGTCTTTGGTAATCTGACAAAAAATAAAAAGTTTTCTGATCATTACACATTTCCAATTACAATTTTCCTTACTGATTATTCTACTATCTAGTTAATAATAAGTAGAGAGTGGATTTAGTGAAATTAAATATATGTGTGCGTGCGTGCGTGCGTGCGTGCGTGCGTGTGTGTGTGTGTGTGTGTGTGTGTGTATTTTTTAACAAATATGCAAGTAAAAAAGAAAAATATGTAAAATAAATATTAAAAAATTAGTTAATGAATTTTATAATTTACAGATATATTAGTTGACAAGTAAAAAGGAATAATAAAACACCAAAATAAAATCAAGAATAAACTTTTAATTTTAAAATGTTAAAATGTAAATAAATAAGTGTATCTTTCTTGGGCTAAAAAAGCACTATGAAATAAAATATATACACGGTATATAATATAATATATATACTAGGTATTTGAAAAATTTGAACACGTTATCAAATCCTTAATCTTGAAAATTATTTGAAATAATTTAAATTTTTTAATTTTCCAAACTAAAATTAAATCAATCTGATGTTGAATATTTTTTTCCCAACCTATAGAATGTTCACATCTAAGGATAAAATGGGAGCCTAATTGAAGACTGCAATTACATTTGAAGTGAAAGAATTTTTTCCCCCAATCAAAATAAGAGCAATCTCTTTGATTTGTCAAGTTCAGGATTTTTTAAATTTTTTTAGGACATTCGTAATGTTTTGATTCATTTTATCTGCTGTCCTTCCAATAATATTCTCCGATTTCCAGAAGTTGTAGTTTACTACAGCAATGCTGTCTTAGAGTGAGACAAATCCGGGTTCCCAGTTGCGTAATTGTGCTTGCCTGTTGGAAGCAATGAAAGCTAAATTTTGCACGAGTCTATTTATTTCCGTTAATCTTCGAATTTTGCAATGACTTTAATTTTTGAAAAATTTTCATCATAGTATTCGGTGGCTTCTACCCAGGTCCCACCTCATTACAACAAGTTATGGTCAGAGCAATAAATCTGTATAGTCACAATACATCCTCCCTACCCTACTCTTTAGGAAATTCTTTTTTATTTATTTATGTTTGATATCAAAGATATGGATCTGAAAATTCACTTTTCTCAAAATTTTTGTTTGCATCTTGAATTCTCTAGTCTCTGAAACCCTTCTTATGTTTTTTTTATTTTTATTCTCAATCATTTTATTGTTTATTTTATTAAATATGGGCCAAAATATATAAATTAAGGTAAAATATGTTACTATATGTAAAATAAAATATAGTTTATTTGCTTTTAAATAGCATGGAACATGTAATAAAAGTTCCAAAATCGGTGTACTTAGGCCCAGAAAAAAAGTAAAAATAAATTCAGTCCCTAATAATAAATAAAATATCACTACTGAAGACAGAAAAAAGTTGAAACACATCTACCAGCCCAAACTATCAATAATAGGCCAAAATGATTGAAGATGACTAGATTGGTTCATTACCCCAAATCTCACATTATTTCTAGATATATATTTTTCTTTTTTATATAACCTAAAAATATATATAAATTCACTTACTGAAGCAAGTCGTTTGCAGAATTGTTGGGATGTGATAACATGTGTATCAACGTGAATCAAAAGAATATTCGTTTCCAAACTGTCCAAATCCACCTGCACTACTTGGCTTTTCATATCGTGAATCCCTAAATAACCAAATTACAAATAAATTAACAAATAAAATAAAAAATATGTAATTTAAAATAGTTCATGTTTTTTTTTAAATTAATATTCTTGCGGCTACATGTTAAATTAAAACAAGGTTGTAACTCTTTACAGCTTGTTAGTAAGCAACAACATGAACTATACAATTTATAATTTGTATTTAACAACTTTTTACTTTTATTTAAATGAATTAGCTTTGTCAGACAGCACATCTTTGAACTCAAATTTGTAGTTTATACCTTTAGCCACAGTTCTTGCATGAATATGATCTTCTTCCAATCTTTCGACCATATGGTCAAGAGCGTAAATTCCAGCGGCTGCCACTAAACCAACTTGTCTCATACCTCCTCCAAGGACTTTTCTCAACTGCCTAGCTCTGTTCAATAGAAAAAAAAAGTTTCATTTAGTACAATCGCTTACTCATTGGTTCAATTGAAATTTACTTATGGATGAAATCGGCTTTGCCTATAAGCAAACTTCCGATTGGCGCACCTAGCCCTTTGCTCAAGCATACATTGATAGAATCGCAATCCCGCACAATCTCGTGTGCTGGGACTTTGGAGCTTACGACACTGTTGAAAAATCTAGCTCCGTCCATGTGAAGAGGCACTCCAGTATCTTTCAGCGCATCACTGAGCTGAAAAAAAAAAATTGGCCTATATATTATGGATTTTCTAGTAGCATCATTTGTGTATGCAAAAGTTTAGTCTTTTAGAATTTTTTTCACATAAAATAATCAACTGAATTTTTATTTTTTGGTTTATTTATTTATTTTTTTAATTACTACGTTTTTCTACAAGTTATATAACATTAGCAATTAAAAATGAAATGTTATAATTTCACTAATGAAGATAACATATTAACCTTTGAAGAGATTTCACACAATTGAAAACAATGTTGTTGTTTTTTTCTTGATTTTTGTAAAATTATAATTTTTCATAATCGATTCAGGTAAAAAAAATGCAACTAACGAATAATAACTATCAATAAAAAAATATATATTTAAAAAAAATACTGCTTCAAAATAAGATAGCTTATAATCTCGTTTCATTTTATCAATGAAATCAAATCAAATTATTAACATCCCTCACCTCTCTAAGCCAACTGAGAGGAGTGACTCGCCCTCCACAAGAATTGTGCGTGTTTTCAACGCACACAAGCGATGTCCGTGGTTGAAAATTTTGACTTCTTCTAAACTTCTGAAGCATTTCTTTAACACTGAATGTGCCATTGGGAAAGTTAGGAACGCTCCGAAGTTGTACACCTGCAATCTATAAAAAATACAAGTGGCAATAATAATTGGTAATAACATGGTAATTAAAGGTTTAAACTCAACAACAGAACAGCAAACCTCAATAATGTAAAAATTAACAGTATTAAATAAGTAAAAAGATAGGGCTAGGTGGTTCTTTCTTTTATCCAAACTTTTCTACTTATTTGTTATAAAGCACATCATAAATCATTCAATGATTACCTGAGCGGCACCAGCTTGTTCCCATAATAATATATGACTATCTTCACCGACTATTATCTCACAGCCACGATTATCTGCATGGGTCATTACTAACACAAAAAAATATTCACACAAGTAGAATAAGAGTTGATATTAATTAAATTATAAATGCTATAATCAGATTTAAAAAAAAATCAGAAGTTTGCAATTAATCAAATTTTCATATTAACTGCTATGATGCAAGATTTATTAAACTGACTGATAGAAATTTAAGAAAAAAGCCCTTACTTGCCAATAGATTTGCCATGGTACCACTTGCCACAAATAGTGATGTTTCTTTATTTAACATTTTCGCACCTTTTTCTTCCAGTGCTAAAATTGAAATGTTACATAATAATAACCATTATTATCCCATAAAAATTTAAAAGCTGAAAGTATAAATCAATACATACTTAAAGACAAAAAACCGGAACTTGTTTTTTGTTGCATATTTCAAACTATTATGTATTTTTATGGTTATATTAATTAACATACTTATTTTAATGTAAACCAAATTCATGATTTTTAATTAAAACAATATGTAATTATGATGGTTTGAAAGAAAATTCACTGAAGTATTTTTCTTTCAAACCATCATAATTAAATAATTTTTATTAAAATTTTGTCTGAAAACTCTCAGTATCCACAGAAGATTCATACCAAGCGTCACCGCGATAATAGGAAATACCTTGAATTTCAGGCTTCAAAGCATTTTATTTTATATGCATACCAATTAGACACGTTCTGTATCACGTGTGCCTATCGTCAATGTTATGAATGTTTAAGGATTTTATTATTAAAAAAAATACATTGCATGCTAACATACATAAAGTGTATTCAAAGCAAGAAAACAATGTATACATACATGTTCTAAAACTCAACAGCGGATAATGTAAAACGTCAATAATGAAAGCACAGATAATGAGAGCCAACTGTATGTAATTATATAAACATAATTATATAAATAATAATGGATAAGCCCAAAATAAAATTTAAAATAATTAAAACAAAAAATTATGTTAACTAACAACAAGAGATTATACTTAAATATAGAAATTTATTAAATTTTATACCAATAAAAATTGCAAACCAAAAAAATTATGTACCACAATTATTATGACAGAAATATGTTAATATAAGTCAATTGTTTATTATAAATTTAATACCTACCATTAACAGTTGGATCCTCTCCGTATACATCATCTCCTACTTTTGCTTCAAACATGACCTGTCTCATTTCTTTGCTAGGTTTGGAGAATGTATCACTCCGATAATCGACAATCCTCACCTTTTCACAAATAATTTTGACATCAAATATTCATTATTAAATAAATAAATAAATATTACATTTTTTGGATAGGTCAACGATTCTTGAGCATTGTAAATTGAGGCTTTACCAACTTCGAAATAGTTTTTAGCTTCATTCAGCTGTCTTAAAGATCTGCAAAATATCCTTGCGTGCATTTTTGTTTTGTATGGAAAATCCTCGTTAGTTAAAACCTAAAAAAATTGTTAAAATAAAGAAATCGTCAATGTAAAGATAAGAATATTACTTTAAATGGTTCAATTGGGCACTGTTAAGTTTGGTGAGGAAGGAGCCAACTCTGCTTCCTTAAACTTTCCCTACAATAATTTCTACACCTATCTGCATGTTTGACGCATAATTAATTCATCTGGTGGGTGTGGCTTGTAGAACCAGTTCCTCGTTGGCTATGGTTAGTTTGATATTCACCACTGACTACTAGTAATGTTCCCAAAGATGTTTTAAATCGCCTGACCAGGGTTTATCAGTCTTGACCTCTTAATTGCGTCAAATACATGAATTATAAAATCCGATTTATGACATCAATCACTCTATTACGATTTTAATCTTTCTTTTATTCTCGGTTTGTTAGTTGTTTTAATGCCAATTGTATTAAAGCCCTAAAAATATTTTTTAATATGTTAATATTCTTACTTTCAATAACGTTTGATGCAAGTAGTGCTAATAAAAACATTCTTGCATTGTCAATTATCAATTTGATCAGGTACACAACATTGCAAAAAGTGCATTTTCAATGTAAACATAAGATCATGAGAAATGACAAAAATCAGAAAAAGTAGCTAGTGATCATAAAAATAATTATTATACTGGAAAACAAGTAGTAATTTAAAGGTCTATTTTAAGTCAGTTTTAAATTTTGGTTGCAAAGAAAAAAAATTTTAATCATGCATTTTGTATTTTACGAGAAAATTTTGAACAGCATTTTCAAAAACTTTTCTTTAAATAGAAAGAAATTCATACAGAATCTTTTGAAATTATTGGGTCTCAACTTCAAAACATTTATTCTAAAAATAGTCAAATATATTTTTCTATAAATTCAAGATAAAACAATTTATCGCAAACCCAAAGCATGAAAACTTGTTTCGTTGTCATAATTTGTTTAAAATAAAGAAGAAATTCATACAGAAAGATCTAATAAATCAAAAACTACTGGGAATTTATTTGTTATATTGGACTTTCATCCCAAAGAGATGCCATTCCCTGATGTGCTGACCCTAGGGTATATTGGAGAGTTAGGCGACTGGGTCGTTTCCCAACCAGGTTGGGTTAGGCTTCAACTGTTGGGTTATTTCAGCTCCTAACACACGCAAACTATAATCCAGCCTAATACTAATCAACTTCTATAATAAAATCTCACACTTAAATATATTCACACCTGTACATTGACTTATTCTCGTTAGTCAGTAGAGTATTTGATATTCCTCCATCAACCTACACACAATATTATAATATAATCTAAATTAGGTAATAAATACACACACTCAAACAAAACACATAACCTTCTTTGTTATAGTTGTAATAAAAAGAAAAGTTTTTCTGCCTACTACCACTTGATTGGCTTCGACTTCAAATGTATATTTTCCAAATATGTAGATTATTACAAAAAAAAAAAAAGTTTAATATAAAACTTATTGCAACGTAACATTTGAATTGATCTAACTATAAAATCAGTTTCTCATGGAACTACCATGCACTAAAACTAGAAGAATCTTCATGAAAACTTGTTTCATTATCATAATTTGTTTAAAATTGAGAAGAAATTTATACAGAAAAGTCTGATAAATCATCAAACTCCTATAAATTTTGTTGATAGGGTTGCAATAAAAAGAAAATATTTATTACTAGTACAGTTTGATATGCCTAATTGTGGTTTAAACTTAAAAACATATATTTTGAAAATGTTTTTTTCTTAAAAATATATTTTATTAAAGTTGAATGTAAAATGACTTACCACAACCCAAGGACTGAATTGATCTAACTAAACAATCAGTTAGTTCATCATGGCACTTAAATACTCGCCCCTAACAATCGTGATTCATACAAAAGAAAGACTTCTGTTGTAACTACTTAACTATGACAAAAATGTTTGAATTGACTTAGATTAGATAAGATTGCATGGTGATTTTCCCATTTATTTCCAAAAACTTTCTTCTAAAAAGCAAAAATTCACTTATTATTGCTTACAAACTACTCTTACTGCTCTATTCACATAATGCAATTTATTCTAATTGTTGATATTATAGTTTCAAAACTTTTTTATTTCTTTTATATTTTTTAATTGCACTATCTCTCCTGCATTAGCAAAACCTCAGTTCGCATATTCAATGTGGTGATGAATTTTTTTGTCAAGGGGAGGGGTTTAAAGTCCTGTGGAGATGTTGGGAATTGAACCCACAACCACAAGAGTCTAAGAACCAAGATTCTGTTGCTTTACCCACTCGGGTTTATGCAGTCCCCATTTTTGTGGTCTTAATCAACCATTCCAAACAGTAAAGATCACCGAAAAGAGAAGTTCGATGTTATTTACTTATGCACAGCTTGTAATAATCAAAGTGTCAGCCATCAAAACAATTCTGCATGATGACTTAGGCCTAGGAGAAAATGAATAAAAAATATTTTAAAAGAATTATCCAATAGCCACGACTACCTTGCAATATAATGCTGATAAAATACAGCATAAAAAGCAAAAATAAATGCTCTACAAAAACACAAAAACCTAACTGCTGTTTCTTTTTTTTAAATGCGTTTTATTCAAATTAATTGTAAATTTATAATCACAAAATTGCCTATGGAGCTTGGTCATTTTTGGTTTTGTTCTGCTCATTCTCACTATTTTAAGGCATCATTCTGCTTACATCTGTGACTAACTTCAAACCCCTTCACAGAAAGAGAAAGGCTGGCATGTAAATGGGATTAATCAGTACAAAAGTAACAAAGGAAGTAACAAATAGCAAACCATTATTTACTGTTTATTTTGACTACAATAGCCCCTAATTACCTGTAATTAATGTGGAAATATAAATGATTTAATTTTAAACCAAATAAATTGAGTGGTGAGTTAAATTTGTTCATCAGTGTAATATCGATAAAAATAAGTGATAAATTTAATGCAATATAAGATTCTGATGATGGGTACAAATTCCTGAAATGTCCAAATAAATGTAAATAAGTAATTTATTTACTTTTTTATTTTAAACCACATGGAAATGTTTTCTAAAATAAATCGAAAAATTGAAATAAGACAAATCAGTCTTAAAAATTCCATGCTAAATAAAACACCTTTATAAGCTAAAATTATTTACAAAAAAAGGCACATATGACATGGCAGTAAATATCCAAAAGGCCAAATGACCATCTTTTATTTTCATTTTATTTTAATTCTTATTTATTTTTAAGAAGAATATATTAAAAATAATTGATAGACTGACTCATTCACTCTTTCTTTCTATCTCTTTCCCTTGTTTCTACAAACTTAGTCTGGTATTTCTAGTAATATGCAAAATTAGTAAAATTAAACATTTTTTTATGTTTATTTCACTTTGTTAGGTTTATATGAGTTAATTTCAATATAAGTTATCGTATACCAATGTTGACATTTAATTATAAATTTTTTATTTTTCATTTTTATTGCTGTATTACCAGATGTGAAAAAGAGTCCAGTTTCACATTTTTATAATAAAACTTAACGATTAAACATATCAAATATATTTCTCACCAAATAACAGAGCAAGATTTGTTCTAATCGACTGTTCAGGCGACACTGCTGTTATTTGCAAGTAGGATGTGTTTGATTGATGTCAACAATGCATAATTTGTGGGGAGCTTGGATTGAAATACCTTAATCTGTCCGTAACAACAATTTAACGAATTTAATAGGTTAAAACTATAAAGCTAAAATATTGATTTGGTCGTAGGAAATAATGTTAAAATCAATTTATATATTTTTTAACTCAAACATGAAAATGTTCATAAATGGGGTAGTTTTTCATAATCGTACTAATCATTAGGGTATGTATTTAATTGCTCTGGCACAAACTGTTAGAGAATCTTCATCAGGTTTAATTTTTTTCTTTCAATTTAAGAAAAATCAGTGTTGATTTTTATTAAAGTCTAATTGATATTAATACAAATGCATTATTTGTATGTACAATAATTTGAAAAATACAAATAAAACCGATTATATTGCACATGTTGCTAGTTCCATCAATACTCCTACCTAGAGAGCATGTGCTTTCTTACCCTTGTCCTTTGGTTATTGCATCTCGTATGTTTCACTCTCCCCAGAGTTGACCAGTTACTGTTTTTGGATGGCTCAAATTCTCGCCTTAATTCGTTACACTAGGCATGCATGGAATAACAGATATTAGTTAAGGAGTTTAATTTTTGATTTGTATTGTACAACCTGTTTTTCTTTTCTTTCTTTCTCCTTTTAACAGTTGCTATTTCTCTTTTCTTTCAATTTATTGCATAGGCAATAATTATTAATCTTACTTTATTGTGTATTTTTTTCGTTTCTGATTGTTTAATCAATGACCTCTGGCAGACGGATCCAAAATCCATGTCCATAAATGCTTTGAAAGCATAATTATCATTTTTTCTTATGTTCAATAAAGCATTATTATTATGTATTTAATTGCTCTTACTGTTGCAGAATCTTCATCAGGTTTAATTTTTTCTTTCAATTTAAGAAAAATCAGCCACCTTATACAGGGTGGGTGACCAAGACCCGAGGGGTTAAATGCCTGGGTAGACTTGTGCCCCATCCCTAAAAGGTCCAGGACTTGGTCGGCTCACGTGTCCTGCATAAACCTCTTGGACTTGTGCACAAACCCTAAGATTTTGGACCATTTTATCTCGGGGAGTGATTTGGTGATGTTCTCTCCTTCAAAGATTTCAAATCTAGACCTAGCATACCTATCACACTCTGCGAGGTAGTGCCTTGCCGTTTCTTCTTTTATTTCGCAGAAGCGGCAAAAGGGATCTGGCAGGATACCCATTACGAAGAGGTCTTCTCAGTGGGCAGTGGCCCGTCAAAATACCTATCAGCCTCCTAATTCCCTTCCTTGAGATAGAGAATAGCCATTTCGATTTATTTTTGGATGTATCTTTTTTATGTGGCAAGTTGCTAGGCCACACTAGGGTTTGGGGTCTAGAGAAGTCATATTGGCTTCTTTTTTTGACCGACATGTCATGGTCAGGTTATTGGTGCCTCTGTCTTCTGCCAGGGATTTCATATAATTCCATTAGCTTTTTGCCTTTACTTTGTGCAAGAACCTGGTATTTTTATTTCTCTGGTGCATTATTCAACTATGATGTCAGACTGAAAAACTAATTTTAACTAATGAAACAGTTCAAATGTGAAAAGAAACAAGAAGAAAATTTTAATTATTAATTTGTACGGGGTTTTAAATCTTGCAATCTGCAAAATTTG